ATAAACCTAACCAAAGATGTAAAAGATCTATATGCTGAAAACAATAGAAAGCTTATGAAGGAAATTGAAGAAGACACAAAGAAATGGAAAAACATGCCGTGCTCGTGGATCGGAAGAATAAATATCGTTAAAATGGCAATACTACCCAAAGCTATCTACACATTCAATGCAATCCCAATCAAAATTGCACCAGCATTCTTCTCGAAGCTAGAACAAGCGATCCTAAAGTTTGTATGGAACCACAAAAGACCCTGATTCTGATATGCACGCTCAGGTTCAGGGGCCTCTGGCCACGTCATCATTTTCTCCTGCAAACAGAATCTGAGTACACAGATCAGGCGTGTGCACACTTCTTCTGTAAAGGGCTGGGGAACACACACTTAAGAGCTCGCGGGCCACCGCAGCCTTTATCACGCTCGCTGCGTCTTCCTTCACAAGTCCTTCACAAAAGCGAGAAACCACTCTTTGGTGGGGAGAGAGGAGAATTCAGAGTAAGTCAGGGTATGCTCTCAAACCCACCCTGCGAAATTCTGCCAGCAGACTCCGGGAAGCAAGCGTCTCACACAAATCTCCTTTCTCCCTTTCCCTCGGGCCTTTTACAAACGTTCCACACCGCTCTCCGATCCTATCAGCTCGCCAGGGACTTCTGACAACCCCGATCAGCAGGGCTGGGCTTTCCTAGGCAGTGGGGAGAGACTCCCGAGCTCCCTGGCTGAGGTCTGTCTCGCTGAGAGTTTATAACTCGGGCAGCGGGAATTCATCACCGGCAGGCCGGGGCGAGTTGTCAATATCGCGAATAACACGGCTGATCAAATTCAGGTCCAGCGTTTCCTCCGCACACGTCAGGGGTGTCCCACGTGAAGGTCACTGTCCCATGTGATGACTCATACGCGGCCTGCTGTCTCCTGACCCCCAGGCTCTGACAGCCCCCTCCATTCGGTGGCTCACTGCACTCTTCCAATGCGGGGCGATCAAGGCGCTCGACGTGATCGTCCCGGACTTCGCTCCTACCGGGAGGAAGCCACGCGTGGCCCTCGGAGCTGAGCTTCGGGGGAAACGTTCCAAAGTGAGGAAATGACAGAGCTGTCATGTAGGGAGACACTGAGTAGGACGGTGGGCCAGCCCCCGGCGGGTGGCAGAGGCCAGGCTTTCCTGAGCTAGCTGTGGGCTTCCCCAGGGCCACACCCGGGCGGGGGCCAGTCCTGCCCTCGCTGCCCACCGTCCTCACCTGCCGGCCACAGGTTTCCATCCCTAAGGGCTCACTGCTGCCCTGTGTGCCCCTGGTGTGACAGCACACGCAGCATCCTGTCCACAGGAGGCCTCTTCCACCAGGCTCAAAGCTCCTTAAATGTGCAGATGTGCTTCTAACACAGTTATGTGTCCCCAACACGGAGCACACCCCTGGCCCCGCAGAAGACACTTGCTCAATGTGTCCTGAAGGGCCGTTGGAAGCAAGCCCACCATCCACACGGGTGGTTCTGACAGACGCAGTGGGAGAGTGCTGCCTACATTCTAGGCCCATCAAGACGAGGTGGCTGATAGGGCAGGGAAGCCCTTAGGGGTTGACCAGCCGGAAGAGCGAGGACCACCCCCGGCAGCTGTTCCAAGGCCCTACGTTGTCACAGAAACAAAGCTCCTTGGAATGGAGGGGAGGCGCTGCTTAGAAGAGCCATGCCCAGAGCTCCCTCCCCAGAGCAGAGGTGCACGGGGCAGGGAGGCGGTCAGAGCAGGTGCTAACAGAGCCCTCGTCCCGGGCCAAAGCGCTTGGCTGAAGGCGATCCGGCCGGACACCCTCAACCCTCAACGACGCTTGGAGGCGCGCTGTGGTTTCTCATTTCCATTTTACAGATGAGGGAACCAAGGCTCGGGGAGTCTGCCGAATTCTCCCAGGTTGGAAGTAGCAGCCCCATGAGCTCGGAGGAGGCCAAGGTGAGGCCAACTCCACAGACAGGCCAGCCGTTTTCACAAATATGTGACGTGCTTTTTTTTTTTTTTTTTTTTTTTGCAACAGCTTTATTGAGCTGTAACTCACGTTCCCTTCACCCATTTAAGATACAGCAGTCAATAGTTTTCAGCATATTCACAGAGGTACGCGCCCACAGCCACAATTTCAGAAATCTTCATCATCACCTCCATAAGAGACCCCCCCTACCTTTAACTATCACCCCCTCCAGTCCCTAAGCAGGCACAACTCTATTTTCTGAGTCCTGATTTCCCAGTGCCGGACTCTTCACAGGAATGGAATCAAAGAATAAGTGGTCTTTTGTGTCTGGCTTCCTTCACTCGACGTAACATTTTCAAGATTCAGCCATGCAGGAGCCCGTGTCAGTACCCCATCCTTTTTCACGGCTGAGTAATATTCCATGGCGTGGACAGACGCCATATTGTTCACCCACTCATCCACCGATGGACCCCTGGGTTGCCTCCGCCTTTTGGCTACCGTGAACGACGCCGCTACGAACTGCACTATGCTCTTTGGCTGCCACCATCGGAACGCCCTCCTGTGTCTGGGGCTTTCCCCACAGTACGGGAGACGGTGCCCACCGCCTTCTTCAAAAGCCGGAAGTGCTTCCTCTCCCCCATGGCAGCAGCGGGGGTGTGCATGGGATCCAGGCACGGCAGCCCAGGCCTTCGAATCTGAAGGTGTGACGCTGAGAGCTCCTTCCCGGGCGGGGGCAGTGACGTCCTTCTCCCAGAGGCAGCGGGGACAACGGCGGTGGCTGTGCGCTGGGGGGAGGCGGGTCTGCAGCGGTCCTGGCACCGTGAATTCCTGGGCCCCCTCCCCGACTCCGCAGTCTCCTAGGGCATTCTGTGCACTACTGGGCAGCCTTTTAACAAATTCCTTTTCTGCTGACGTCAGCCAAGGTCAGCTGCTGTTGCTCACCATCAGGAACCCCAAGTGGACCACGCCTGCTGAAGTCTTACTGCACGTGCCGATGCATCGGGCAAGCCGAGAGGGCCTTTTACCCGGGTTAACAGGTGAAACTTAACGAAAGAGGAGTTCTGGAAATTTCTCCCCTCTAGACCATCCCTGCTCGTTTGTGAAGGACACGAAACAGAGCCGAAAGCACAGAGAGAACCAATTTAAATCTAGAGAGTTCTATCCAAGAGAGAAGAAATGTTGGGATTCTCCCCCCAATCTGCTTTAGCCCCGCTTTGCTCCTGCTTCTCAGATAGTCTGTGTTCTAAGAGAGAGTCGCCCAAGGTGGCGTGCCCACGGTCCTACTATTCAAAGGGATAAAGAAGCAAACGTCAGCTGCTAAGGGCCAGTGAGCCAGTCAGTGCCCTGGGCCGCCCTTTCCAGGCTGGGCGTCCGTCAGAGTCAGCATCTAGGTGCTGGGAGGCCAGGACCATCTCTCCAGCTGAAGGATTACCTGAGTGAGTCCCGTTAGGTTGAAACTTAGTTTCATTCTGCCATTTTCGCAGGCTCCCCCTTTCACGCTTTCTCCCGCGACCGGCACTGAACTTCAAATTATGTCCCTTTCGTCCCAAGAAAAGCACGTGTGTTTCAAATACTTACATTGCTATCTTCCAAAAACTTAAGTGCTTTCGCTATGTTGTTCAACCGGAAAATACGATGGGATGAGGACTTGTACTCATGCAGCTGCAACACAGAACAGAGCAAAGGAGAAGTGAGCCCAACGAGACTCTCAATGCCCGGTGGTGCCGGGGGGGTGGCGGTGTGCCTTTCTTTGTCTTTACCGTGTTCGCATTAATCTCAAGATACAGGGGCTCGCAGCTGAAATCCAGCTTATTTATGGTTCTGGGGACTTAACTCACTGGAGTCTGTGCGGGAAGGGGGTGCCCAGGCAGGTTAAACAGGGGACAGATTTGTCAAATTTTTCTCTCTGACCCGGCTCCTGGCTTTGACATTCCTCCTTCTCCGGAGACCTCCAAGGATGTGTTCTCCTCGCTGCTCTGACGGTTTTGTCAGGCAGGGAGCATCGGCCGGGGCGTCCCCACAGCTGCTAAATCACCCGGCAGGTCCCTCCTAGAGGCAGCAGATGTTTCAGTTTTCCGGCCGGGAGCTTTGTGGACATTTATCCCAGGTCAGAGAGAGAAACAGACAGACAGAGACAGCCAGGCAGAGACAGACAGACAGGCAGAGATACTGAGACAGAGAAACAGAGATGGAGATGCAGAGAGAGAGAGAGACAGAGAGAGGGGAGAAATGCAGACAGAAACAGAGAGACGGAGAGAGACAAGAGGCAGACACACACAGAGACAGAAAGCCAGGCAGGCAGAGACAGAGAGAAGAGAGAGAAATACAGAAACAGGTGGAGAGAGAGACAGATGAGACAGAGAGAGACAGACAGGCAGAGAGAGAGGAGAGAGAAATGCAGACAGAAACAGAGGGGTGGAGAGAGAGAGAGACAGACAAGAGAGACAGAGAGAGACACAGGCAGGCAGAGAGAGATAGAGGAGAGAGAACTACAGACAGAAACAGAAAGATAGAAAGAGACAGAGAGCTAGGAGGCAAATACAAAGAGGAAGAGAGGTGCTTGCAGACGCTAAAATTTTAACAACAGCAGCTGAATATCCCAAGGAAACTCTCCCACCCTGAAGCTCACTGAAGCACCTCCAGACGGGTGGCCGACATTACAAGGCAAACCAGCGGGGACCAGCTGCACCAGCCGTGAGCTGCCAGCCAAGCTCATGGGTAAGCAGAGGCCTATTCTCAGCCTCCATAACCGAAGGCCCCCAACACAGGCCCAGCAAGGCCATGGCATCTATCAGCCAGTGGCCCGGCAGCAAAGTGGGAGCTTGTGTTGCTGGGAACACAGAGCAAGGAACTGGATACGCTTTCTCAGGGAGCTCTGTGGGGACTGTGCTGTTGGCTCATTGCGGGACCTGCTGAGACACCAACACTGTTTTTACCTCCATGAGTCCGCCCTTCATGAGAGTTCACGACGTGACTCTGCACAGCCCCCCGGAGGTGCTAACAGGTGTCTCCTGTTTTGCTTTTGGGAGGGTGAAGACAGAAGAGTTAAGGGGTGGGATGAGAGTCTAGCTACATTAGATCTGAAAACAGGAGGGGCTCTTGACTTCAAGCCTGTAGGTGGAACTGGATCTGGGCAGCGGGCTGGTAGAGTTGGGACCCGCATTAGCCACAATTAGCTCACGGATGCCACGTCAAACGCGAGACTCTACAGAAGGGTTTCTCGACGTCACCACCACCGGCATTTGGGCCGGGTCATCGGGCCCTCTCCGTGGACATCTGGCAGTAGTATCTAGTGACATTTTTGGCTGTCACACCTGGGGGTGCTCCTGGCACCCAGGGGGTAGAGACCATGAATGCAGCGCCCAGGACTGCAAATGTCGGACCCAAAATGTCAACAGCATTGAGGCTGAGCACCCCCGCTCGGGGAATGGGAGAGAGATAACCAACCCACACACAGCAGACATAAGCGACACGGACATGTATGGTGAGGGTCCCAAGTGCAATGAACCTCAAGACGGGCTGGTTCAATTCAACAAAGACTTACAAAAAACACTGGGCATTTATTTATTTACTTACTAAAGTATATTTACTTAAAAAAAAAAAAAGGAGGACACTGCTTCGTTACACATGATTGTATCACTCTTGGTCACTGGGAAAGGAATGTCACCCTTCCTAAGTTTCTTGTCACAGGACCATGCATGGCCAGGTGGGTGCACCTACGTACAGTTCTGTGCTGCAAAGAAACCTTGATCAGTGTTTGCCTTCACCTTTTATTTCTCCCTGACCCTTTCGTGACATACGTACCAGATTCCGCCCAGACAGGACTTCTAACAAAGCCATTAGGATTTTGCCATCTTGGATATCAATGAATAAATCTTTAACTTCTAGGGGTGGGTCGCACTGTGGAAGAAGGGGGTGAGGAAGCTGATTAGTGACCCGTATGATCCCCAAAACTGTTCCCAAGCTTCAATTCTCCCCCAAGGGAAGACATCCTGACCTCCAGATCTGTCTGCGGGCAATGCCCCCTCTGCCTGGGGGCGAGAGGGTGCCAGCAAATCAAGGAGGAGACTCAGCACCAGAGCGCAGCTCAAACAAGTGACCTGGAGGGCGTTGGGACCCTGAGATCTGAGACCCCCCCGCAAGGGCCATTGTATCCACGCTTCTCTTTAAGGGGAGAAAGAAATGGCATGTCTTGATGACAGGCCTCCAAAGAATAAAATAATGCCAGTAAGACTCATGTGAAATTACCTGGTGTAAGCCCTTCGCTTTAGATTTGGGGGCACTGAGGCTCAAAGAGGCTAGGTGACATGCCCAGTGTTTGGTCAAATCGGCTCTTTGTACAATCAGTCCTGTTTCTTCATCGGGACTCACTGGCTGCGGACAGGCGGTGCCCAGATCCCCACCACGATGGCATGACCCTGGGTCAGTGACCCTCTGGGCCTCGGTACAGACGTCAGCAGGGCTCCCCCTCCCACGCCCCCCCATCTCCAATACTGCTTCGTCTCTGTATGTGCATCTTCCTGAGGTGCCAGCTGATGCGTCAAGATTCAGTCTAACTCCAGAGGTGGTGGGACCCTCGGCAGAGGAAGCCAGGAAGGTCGCTAGCGTGTGTGACTCAGCTGGGGGCAGTGGGGGCCGTGTTGACAGACTGCTGGTCTCCCGAGTGGCTGGACGGTTGGGAGGGGGGGACCCTTCGTCCCCACCAAATGTGTAGGCCTGTTCAGAAGTCAAAGGTTGGGAGGCTGATTTATCTGTAGATGTTCTTGTCTATTTATATGTTTAGATACAAACATATCTTACCGATCAAACTAACTAAAATCATACTAAAAAGTTAATCAGCTTTTTTTTTTTTTAATTTTAGAGATAGAGGTGGGGGGAGAGGGTCAGGAGAGAGAGAGAGAGAGAGAGAGAGAGAGAGAGAGAATCTTAAGCAGGCTCCACAGTCAGGATGGAGCCAGACTTGGGGCTCGAGCCCATGACCCTGGGATCATGACCTGAGCTGAAATCAAGAGTGGGACGCTCAATCGACTGAGCCACCCAGGAGCCCCTTAAAAAGTTCATCAGCATTCTGAATGCCACTGTCTCTGTTCCTCCACAAAACTGGCTTCTTAAGTAAACCAATGTTATCTCAGGACGAACTTCTTACCTGCTCCACTGAGAAGCAAGGGAGTCAGACACACCTGAGTTCAAGTCCAGGATCTACCCTCAACAGGGACTCGGGCATCTTCCTGACCCTCCCTGGGCCTTAGAGGCCTGTTCTGCAAGATCTCAGAGCACAGGGGCTAAAACGAAACGAGATCCTGTAGGGACAGTGCCTGGCACAACTCCTGCCTTCCCAGATGAACGAGTCAGGAGAACCAGCTTGTTAAGTGGCTTCTTTCCCGCAGAGTCTCGGGGTGTTCTCTGCAGTGAGGCATTTCATCCAGGGGGTGCATGTCTCATGGCTATAAGTGGGAAAAAGGAGATGATCCTTGGATGGAACCCCTCCACAGGGAATGGCCCTGAATCTCCCTCTCTCCGCCCCACTGGCTTCTCTTTCTGGGCTTACCGGGTTCGCCCAAGTTCCGGCCTCTCACTGGGGGCAGAGGCAACTGTGCTCACATGAACTGGAGTGTGAAGGGGGCCTGGGTGGGAAAAGCCGGAGAGGTCCACTGTCTAGGGGAACTGGCACCATGCTGTGTCCGCCAAGAGTCTGGCTGGACGTGTGGCCTGGAGCTCCCGGGGCTGTCTGGAACTTGCCGGTCAGACGCTCCAGCATCGGGATTTGCAAATGTGTTTCCCGGAACCCTAGACTTTACTGGAGCAGCTTCAGGGTCCCCTGTGGGGACCGAGGGGTGCCGAGAAAGAGTCTGACCCGCTGCACCCCCTTCGATCAGAGAGGCTCCGTTCTTACTGGCCTTTCTTTAGGGTTCCGAGTAACACTTTGCTTGAAGAAAGGTTTCTGTTGACTGAACCAGCTTGATAATACTTCCTTTAATGCAGTATGATTAGAACTTACGTACGGAATCTCAGGGAACGGGGCTTCCAGAAATGTGTGTTTTTTTAATGTTTATTTAATTTTTGAGAGAGAGAGAGAGAGAGTGAGAGCAGGAGAGGGGAAGAGAGAGAGGGAGACACAGAATCCGAAGCAAGCTCCAGGCTCCGAGCTGTCAGCACAGAGCCTGACACAGGGCTCGAACTCACGAGCTGGGAGATCATGACCTGAGCCGAAGTCGGACGCTCAACCGACTGAGCCACCCAGGCGCCCACAAATGTGTATTTTTAATAAGCCCCACCCCCAGCATGATTCTCTGTTTCCCTTTTGGTAGTGGGGTTTTGGCAACATTAGAACAGCTGGGCAGGGCGCTCTCTGCGCTCCTGGGTACATGAATGAGGTGTTCACACAGGAGACACGATCTCTGTAACCGGCCAGAGACCCAGGGGTGAGGGAAGTCTCAGAAACATGGAGGAGTTTTGGTCTGGGCACCTTTTCCCTCCGGGAAGGCCTCCTTCCCGTGACAGCTTTGGAGAATTCCTGTTTTTGTTTTTTGTTTTTTTATTTTAAATTAAAAAAAAATTTTTTTATTAAGGAAGGTGGCATTTCCTTACCCCTTATACGAGCCCCTTGACCCCCAGTTTGTCCAAATACAGGGCGATTCCTCCCACAGGTGCACAGAAGAGGGATTTGCTTCAAGGGCAACAGCGACTTTGAACCAAGAGGCAAATTATTTTCTTTGCAAACTCCCACAGATCCTTGGGCACATTCCACACGGAACATGACGGCGTCGGGTTACGGAGACTCTCACGGAAATGTTATTCCTGCTAATGCGAGGCAGAAAACGTGACGCCCGAACAGAACACCCCCTGATAGATGGACTAACAAAATTTCCAGTTACCAGCCCCGGCCGTGGCCAAGCCTTGCTTTTGAGTTGAATCTGGAGGGTAATTTCCACTGACAGTGTCTGTAAGAGCCTCGGCGGCAGCAAATGGGGCCTTGGCCAGAGTCCATCCTGCGAGATGGCAGAAGGAGAAATTGAATCTGTTCCAGCGAAAACACTGCTCGGGCCCCAAACGTTCCACGGGCTTCATGAGATCGGTATGGCCGAATAAACAGCACCCCCAGGGCTTTCTTCATGATCTAACTCCTTCGGTAAATTAAGGAATTTTTCCAGAAGCCCGAGACTCAGTAAATATTTCTAACGGCCTTCAAATTGCAGTGAAACCCAAGTCCCCGAGGGGTTCCCGGGTTTCCTTTACATGAAAGGTTGGCCTTGAAAGTCTCAAGGTTGGAAACATGGCTGTTAATTTTGCCCTGTTTATTAGGCATCGGTTTCAGGTGCTATCTGATTTATCCTCAGAGCGGGGCTACCCACCTGCCCCGGAAAAGGGACAGGAGCGTGGCCACGGAGGCAATCCCCGATAGGAGGATGCTCACAGAGGCTCGCCGAGGGCGGTGAGTGAGTGCGTGGGTATTTGGGGCCTTACCCGCTGTCCTTTTCTGTATTTATTTTTCAATAAGAAAGAAAGAAAGAGAGAAAAAAAGAAAGAAAGAGAGAAAGAAAAAGAGAAAGAAAGAAAGAAAGAGAGAAAGAAAGAAAGAAAAAGAGAAAGAAAGAAAAAGAAAGAAAGAAAAAAGAAAAAGAAAAAAAAAGAGAGAAAGAAAGAAAGAGAGAAAGAAAAAAGAAAGAAAGAGAAAGAAAGAAAGAAAGAGAGAAAGAAAGAAAGAAAGAAAAAGAAATATGCCATAGCCACACTCCACCCGCCAGGAGGAATTTCCAGCTATCCTGACGCACATCAGGCATTAATTTAGGAGTTCGGCGAACTCAGATCGGGGGAACGGTTTTCCTTTTTTTCCAAAAATAACACTTCGCTTTATGAGCACTGCCGAAAATGTACCAATAGTCAAAACAACTGGCAAATGATTTACGGTGCTTCATCCCAAGGAGGTCGGGAGTCCTCCTGGGTCAAGGGGAACCCATCGTCTAGGTGCTGAGTAGAGGTGTGGGTGGTCAAGGGCTGCTCGGGAAATATTACGGGTCTAAAGGTAAACTACACGAATTAGAATTTTGGTCAAGCGCCGCGCTTCCGAAAAACCACCGTTCTTTTCTCGGGGATCTAATCATTTCAGCGATTTCCTCCATGAACTTTTCTTTGGGGTTAACTCCACGGGCAGTCAATACTTGCTCTCGTACCTTTCGGGTGGAGAGAAGAAAATCCATATGCCTAACCTCACTGAGAACGCTACCAGCTCTACAAGGAGATGAGGCGACGGGGCTGCGTCTATTTGGAGAAGCAGATCGTGGAATTTAAGAAGAAATGACAGGAGTGAAATGAATCCTGATAAATCAGCTGTCTCATGAAGAGAAAAAGAATCTCTCCTTCCCCAGCTGGGGGATGAGGGTTGTCATGGGGATAGAAGGAGACGTGTGCTGCACTAAGCAGGGTGCCTGATGCACCAAACGGGGCAGGTCACACTGTTGATCGAAAGCAACATTATGTGATTAACCAGGGGATCTGGCTTTGTTAAAGGTGTCGAGTCCTTGCATACATCAATCCGGATATCTACAAATGGCTCTGGCTGAGAATCCCCTGCCATCCTCCCAGTACAGGAAGCCCAGCCTTGTCCCCACCCCAGTCCCTGTGTCCAGAAAAGCCCTTGGGGTGTTCAGTAATAGATGTCTTCTAACATTTGTTCATTGATTCCTATTTAAAGAGAGACCCTCTCCTTCCCCAACTGGGCTGACAACCCCATGATGGCAGAACCACGTTCCCAGCACTGAGCTTGACACTTGGTGGTTAAAGGTACTCAAGCAGACGGTTCAACGAACGGGCGCAGAAAACGACAGCCGGAAATACAGAGCCACCCTTTCCCCCCCTCCCCGCACTACGGGGCTGTGCGCTCGGTCACGGATGAATCTGTCACTTAACAAAAACCCACGTGCCCTGCTTACCTTCTCTAGATGGAGATTTACCCATCGAGTAAAGGTTCTCTTCTGCACATTTTCCCTCTCAACTGAAAACAAAGAAAAGCCATTAGCTGGGTATAAAGAACTGTGTGCAAAACGCTTGAAACCCTGCTCATCCCCAGCCCAACCCCACAGCATCTTCACTAGAATACATAACCATGAATTCAGGGGCGCCTGGGTGGCTCAGTCAATCATCTGACTTCGGCTCAGGTCTCGATCTCACGGTTTGTGAGTTTGAGCCCCGCCTTGGGCTCTGTGCTGACGGCTCAGAGCCTGGAGCCTGCTTCTTCGGATTCTGTGGCTCCCTCTCTCTCTCTCTCTCTCTCTCTGCCCCTTCCCTGCTCACATTCCGTCTGTTCTGTCTGTCTGTCTGTCTCTCAAAAATAAACATTCAAACAATGGTTTTTAAATAGCCATGAATTCAGGCACACGGAACAAAACTGTCACACAATTAGTAAGGTTACTCGCATTTTACAGATTAAGAAACGGAGGATTAAATAGCTTAAATACAGCCAAGTTGGGACCCGGACCTGGATCCTGTGTGTGGCATTGGCCGGCTGGCTGCCCAGGACCCGGACCCTGGGTAAGGGGGCTAGCGCCTAGGTCTGGGTGCTCGGCCGGACACAGAAGCAGCCTCCGCAGCCCAGGCTGCTAGGCCGCTCTGGAAGCTTCCTTGAAATGTCTGAGCCAGATGACTCCTGAATCACTCAGCTCTGGATCTCCACATTTCGGAAGAACGCGTCGCACGTGCTTAAAACCATTTCACGTTTCTTTAGCAATAAGAAAGTGGGAGGCAATTTATCTCCCAGGGGAGAAAAGGGGCTATGGTTTTCTGTAATGGCTATGGTTCTTTTTTCCTCTCGGCCTCGTTATTAGGTAGATAGCGGTGCCCATAAATCAAATTTTAATATTGTGGCTTTCAATCTTTTTAATTGAAGATCCGGCAGACAGTACTTAGGCGCGTAACTGCTTTTCTCTCGATTTCCCTCCTTTGCTGTAAGAAAAGGTCACTTAGCAAGTCGGTGTAAGAACTCAAGAGCCAATCCCAGTAAACTGTGTTTCGTGGGTAGAAGAGGAAGAAGGGAAAAGAGGTGGGTAGAAACGGGGTTGCAGGGGGTGGGTGGGGGAGCATTTGCTGAGGGCCATGAGCTACAGAGTCTCGGAGCTTTCCAGAAGACTGGAGAGTGCCCTGCCCCCAGCCCCACTTGAGACCTTTCTGCCTGTGTATCATTGGCTATGGCGTGGGTGTTCCAGAGCTTAGCGGCCGTCCCTCGGTTGATGGCACTTAGCTCTTCCCACTTTCTCACTGTTACGGGCCGTGTTGCAGCCAGCACGATTGCACGAGTGCCCTGCTGCCTGGTTCTTTGTGCACAAGCAGACGAATCTCAGGCCTGACAGCTAAAAGCGGGGCTGCAGGGTCTTAGTGGTGGGCACATTTACAATTTTAATAGCTACTTCCAAATTGCCCTCCCCAAAGGCTGCCCCGGTGTATACTTTCACCCCCACCTGTCTTTAAACAAGTTTATGGGATTGTAAAGTATTTACACACACATTCAAACACTCAGGCTGGTTTCTCCATATGGCTTCAGGGAGAGCGAAGGACGTCCCCTGAAACAGAAGTGCATTCAGTGAAAGCCTGAGAGAACCTCGTTTGGACGGCTGGTTTAACTGTGTGGAAGGAAGTGTGGAACTGTGTGGAAGACCCACCCCATCTGTCTGTCCATCCATCCATCCAACCATGTATCCTTCCTTCCTTCCTTCCATCCTTCCTTCCTTCCTTCCTTCCTTCCTTCCTTCCATGTATCCATCCATCCAGCCAGCCAACCATGTACCCATCCAACGTTCCTTCTTTCTTTTCTTCCTTCCTTCCTTCCTTCCTTCC